GACTAGATTGATCCTAGGACGTGTTGGTCGTTAGGGTAACTCTCATGATCGAACAGGTATTCATGGTTGGTGTTTGGAATGTTGTGTAGGTGTTTGACTTATTTCGATTTCTCTCTTAAAGATCTAAAGGTGTAATCAAAATATATGTGCGCAAAACTAAATTGCATGAATAAAGGTCAATTGTAAAGACATGTAAAAACTGCATAAAAGACAGGTAAATGACTTCGAAACGTAAAACAAAACAGTTAATATAAAAGATTCGAAATATGAAGAAAGCGTTTAATGCAGAAATTTGTAAAATGACTTTAAGTAAAAAGGTGTTCGAAGGATAAAAACTTGAAGATAAAGGCATAAAATGTATAACAGTTTCTGAAATGTAAAGTGTTTGAAATGGAAAGAAAGCATTTAAATGTAAAGCATCAGTGAAAAGATTTCGAATAAAAAGACTTTGGATGCAAAAACTTGTAAATGGTATTGACATAAAGATAAGGAAAGTATTGGAAATGATAAAGGGTTTTCATTAAATCATAAACATGTGGTGTTATCATACGTACATTGCTCTTGCATTCGTTTCCCTAGCCATGTGGTAATTTGAATGTTTACTGAGTTTTTTTGTACAATAGATATGACACACGAAATCCTAATGCTAAGACTTCTATTTATACTACTTCGACCATAACGGTCTTGCTATAAGATTCTGCCACGTTCAGAACATGCAGAGCAATGCCTCTCTCTTGCCTCCACGTGTCTTCGAATGCTCCAGCGCATATATTTCAAATTTCGAACATCCCGCTTGCATTTGAATTTCAAATGTTTTGGTACTTCTTCGCTTCGAACGCACTTCTTAGACACAGCCTTGTTGTCATTTCGAGACTTCTTTGGATATATTCTCATAATTTTCACTCGAAGCTCCAAGCTTTGATATGCCCATTCGAAGCACTGCTTCTATCATTTCGAAACATGACGTTTTGTTTCATTTCAATCGAAACGTTCCATTTACTTTGCTTCTAATAATACTATCAAAATCTTCAGCCAACACTTGGCTAAAATAGAGAGGAGGCGCCAAGTGAGATGGCGCCTAGGGCATATTGCTTAGTGGAGGCGCCAAGTGAGATGGCTCCTCCTTTGGGGAGTCATCTGAAACATGGTTATTTGCGATTTTTTTTTAAAATATGGTTATTCCAAAAAAAAAATCTGAGAAGAATAACAAAACAAAAAATCAACAACAGAAAAACCAAACTAAAAATAATACAACACAAGCCGATCAGACCGCCCATCCAAAAACCAACTTGAAGCCTCGAAAAAACCAACCTATGGAGAGAGCAAGCTAGAGGAAGGAAAACATGACAACATGCACACAAACACTACTTAAAGAAGGACATCTAGTCACCCAACACACCCATAAATGTCAAACCCCTTGAGCAGATCTCGCTCCTAGTCAACCAGAGAAACTCCAAACCCAAAGCATGGGCTTGAATCCATTTCCACACATAGACATCTAATGATTCACTGAAGAGCTTTCCCGACTAAAAAAATATTTTGAATTTTCCAAATTATCCAGACCATCGAATTCCATATCGAAACCAAGCCTAAAAACACTTGTTTTCCATGACTTAAACCCTGAAACAACTCAAACACCCCTAGAATCAAGGGTGGCAGAGGCCCTAGCGGGCCCACCCATCTAAAAACTTTATACAAAATTGCTGAAGCAAGCTTACACTAAACAAACAGATGATCAACTAACTCTACCTGCCCCGCATACACCACACAACCTGTATTTCTAGAACCAGATACAATTTGACGCCTCAAAAGATTCTGCCTAGTCGACACTCTATTTTGGATAAACTTCTAATAAAAGACAACCACTTTGGATGATTCTCAACTATTCCAAATCCTTGCAAGACCCTGCAGAACTGTCTCGCTCGGCCTTACCTTCCCTAACCTCAGACAAAGTCAAAAGAATGTCATAAGTTGAACTAACTGAGAAACCCCTAAATGGTTTTGGCTTTCAAATCCACACGTGTTCTCGATCTCGCCTAACAACCCTCAAATAATTATAATAAAACCATCAAAAAGCTCCTCCTCCCAAACTAGAAAATTCTTTCTTCGCATAAAACTCCAAACCCAAACATCCCCAACCTACGAACCCAAAGAATCCACCATACTAGACTTTTAATTTGAGATATGAAATAGCCTCTCAAAAGAGACACGCAAAGGGGTAGACCCCACCTAAATGTCATATGCAAAAACTTGTTCTTCTGGCCATTCACGACCAACTTAACACACGAAGAGGAAAATCGGTCAATCTCCAGATCTGGAGGAGACCCAAGGAAAGAAGTGCTTCTCTACCAATGAGACACCCTCATAAGGCTTACAACCCTTCCACCCAAAGACGAACCAAAACATTGAGACCCATACCTAGTCTTCATAATATGTCCCTAAAGTGACGGTAGATCTTGGAGAATCCTCCACTTCCACTTCCTTAAAAAAACAAGATTTACTAGTCTAAGATCTCCCGCTTCTAAACCACCTTCCATCTTGGCCTTATACACATACTCCTATTTAACTCAAGCAACCATAGCTCATACTTTGGAACCTCCCTAGATAAAATGCCTCTGTGTGCTAACCAACTTCTTCCAAACCGAGGCAGGATTCCTTATCAAAGACAAAGAGAACAAATAGTGTTTAACACTAAATTCAGCAGAACCATCCTACCACTTAAACTCACAAGTTTTGTTCCTCTAGAAGGCTAATCTCTTAGAAACAAGCTTGACTAGAAGCTCCCAATTACCTTTATTCTTTATGTTTGCAACCACTAGAAGTCCTAAATATTTGAAAGGGAGATCACCCACCTTACAATGCAAAAAGCCTTCGGCCAGCTCCAGAAAAGGCCTTCCCACATTAACATCGAACAAACATTTCTTGGTGAATTTCAGTATGAGCTTCGAAGTAAGCTCGAAAATTCTGAGAACTGCCTTAAGAGTCAAAAGATTATCAACAGTGGTAACTTCAACCAACAATGTATCATCCGCATACTGAAGATAAGTTACCTCAAAACCACCTGAACCCATCTTAAAACCTTGCACCACTCCAACCGAGATAGCTTTCTTCAAAGAAGCGCCAAGCCCCTCCATTCTAAGAAGAAAAATAAAAATGGTCTATAAGGTATCCTTGCTTCAAAGCCTTTTGAATACTGATCTCTTGCGAAAGGCACCCATTCGCCAAGACTGAAAGGTTACATGAAAAAGCATAAGCTCAAATCCAAGCCTTCCACCTATCACCGAACCCAAATCTCATCAACATATAATCAAGGAAGAACCAGTTAGGGCAATCACTTTATCCATAAAATGCAAGGCACTCTCACTTTGACACCTTAGTCAGGCCTAAAACCTCATTTAGGGCAATCACTTCATCCACAAAATGCCTTCACTTAAGAAAGGTTGATTTCTCATGGGAAATCAACCTCCCCATAACCTTTGTCAGTCCATCCGCCAACATCTTCGCCACCAACTTATACATGGAACCAATAAGAGAAATAAGTCTAAAATCGCCTAACTCCAAGGGAGACTCGGCCTTCGGGATAAGATCAATGAAAAAAGACCTCAAAATCTTGGGCAACACAACATTCTAAAAGAAATGATCAGATATTACATACACATCCTCCTGGACTAACCCCCAAAACTTCTTAAGAAAAGTAAAATTAAAACCATTAGGACCCGAACTCTTAAATGCAATAACCTAGAAAAAAGAAACTCTTCCTCAACTAAAGAGAGACCGGGAGAGAAATTCCATCTAATGTAGGCCTAGAAACCTTAAAGTAAAAAAAAATCCTTAAAAAACTTAGAGATCTCTTCCGAAACCTCGAAAACCCCTTCCAGCCAACGATCGCCCACACAGAAGGCCACCAAATTATTCATCATGTTCCTCTGTTTAAACATGCATGGAAGTACCCTGTATTAGCATTCATTACTTCAACCAAGCTAATCTAGTTCTCTAGAAGATTTGAGAGTCGTTACTTTGAATAAGATCCCACAATTCTAGGACAACCGCGGCTTATTCTCTAACTCCTCTTGAGAAAGAGACATCGTCTCCGCCCTCACCTCCAAACTCTGAATTTTTGTCGAACACACCTTAATCTTAAATTGCAAATCACCAAACCCCTTCTTATTCCAATCCTTAAGAATCTCTTTAAGAGATTTCATCTTATCCTTAAGCATGCAAGTCATCTAACCCTCTCTCACCTCCATCTGCTAAGATTCACAAACCATCCTCTCAAAGTTCCCTCATTCAACCAAGTTAATTTAGATCTCTGAAAGATCTGAGAGTCACGACTCTGAATAAGATCCCTTAACTCATGGCACAACCGCGAGAAATAGACTATGTCTCCGCCCTCACCTCCAAGCTTCGAAGCTTTTCCGAGCACACCTTAATCTCAAATTCCAAATCACCAAACACCTTCTTATTTCAAACCTCAAGAACCCTTCTAAAAACTTTCATCTTATTCTTAAACATACAAGTCATGGAACCCTTTCTCACCTCCATCCTCTAGGATTTACAAACCATCTTCTCAAAGTCCATAACCATTGGACATTGATTAGAAACAACTCACTACAAATTCATATTTCAAAATATCAAATCTAAATCGTCTTCCTATATATTGAAAAATCTTAACTTTAACTACTTCTCAAGTGATTATTTGAAGCACCTACCAATTAGTATTTACTCCGCAATAACTAATATGTGCATCTCATAACCAATCATGAAGAATCACTTATCCTTGATGTTGAACTTCTAAGAGTAACAAATAATCTCATATAACATATTGATATAAAACATCTCTTCCGTTTATGCTTAAATGCTTTCAAATTCATAAACCTTATGTTTACATATGAAATATTGATGTACATTATCATATTCAGTTCAACCACTTTACCTCAAAAAAAAAAAAACAAACAAACAAACAAACATGGTAATTCAGTTCAAACACTTCGAAATATAACTCATTGTTTACCATCAACTGCAATTGCAGGACTTGTCTTCCTCCTCCTCTCCCTAGAGCTACGGCACGAAGACAAACTCGGAATACAAAACAACGAAGATTTATGTGATTTCTCTCTAACCAATACATAATCATTGTTCTTAACTCCTTCACCACTGCTAACAGAGTTAGCTCTTGAGCAAGAAGGAGTCGAGTGTGATGATTGAGGTAGAACATCTTGTATAGTTGGTTTCACTTGTCTCTTTTCTTTACTCTCATCATCTTGATTTTCTTTCACACTATCTTTAAATAGCTCTAAAAGTTTCTTTTTCTTTTCCGGTGATGATTCAGATGGAGAAGGGGAAGTTCTATTCTCAATCAAGGATTTGTTCACACCAGGCGTCGCAAAAGCATGGTGAATCGGAGTATTGCCACGAGACGGTGTAAAGTCTACATAAAAAAATATAGACTTTCCTGTCAGAGTTTGTCAGAGTTTAATCGATATACACTGTTAGACAGAAAATGAACACGTCAATGAAGTTAAAATCTTAAAAAAAATATAAAAAATAAATGCTTACCACCATTGACACTATAGAAATCATCTTCACAATCTGAATCAATCCAAGGTTTGGAATCAAAAAATGTTTCCTCTTTACTACCTTTAAAGAGAGAAAGAAAAAGTTGTGAATAATCAACTATACATAGTATAACTATAATCCAACAAATTAATTAAAATTAATTATTCTTTTTTAATTAAATTGGAAATCATATTTCAATCATTTTCAATTTAATGTCAACAGTAACATATGGATTGTAGTGTATTAGCAAGTTGTTTTCATTCTGCTAAAAATATCTTTCATTTATTATGCAAAGTTAAATAATTGAATAGACACTGTAACTAGAATAAAATTCAATAAAAATAAATAAAATTATGTCCCTTTTGTAATCTCTGTTTTATTTTATATATATTTAAATATAAAAATAAATAAAATAAATAAATAAAGTGAATATAAAATTTTGAACTTCATATTCACATGTGCAATTAATAATTGCCAATTAATAAAATCATGAAAGTGGTGATCTAACCATATCATATCTGCAAAGACAGGTTCATATCACATGATAAATTTCTATTTATTGGCCATCATGACATAAATTAAATTAAATAAATCAGTCATATCATATCAATAAAATTAAATAACTTATATTAAATTAAATTAATCAATAATATCAATAAAATATCAACAAAATTAAATAACTTATACTAAAGTAAGTCAATCAATCCTGTCATATCAATAAATTTAATTAAACCAATCAATAATATCATATCAATCTTAAAGAAACATGAACACCATATCAACTAATAATTGAAGAGGGGGAAAATTAAAAAAGGAAAAATAATTTTAAAAAACTAATAGTAAAACTCATTTTTAGATCCCAGAAAACAACAACAAAAAACATAAAGACCTTAAAGAACAAAACAGCAAAAAAGAACATACCATAGTTAATGAAATTGGTCGTTGACTTAGAAGGTGACTTCTTAAAGTCACCATTTTTGGTTTGTTCCTTAATGGGTGATGAAGGAATCACAAGCTTCTCGGTTTTGGATCCAAAAAATGAAACTTTCAGCTTCATGTTATTGTTATCCGTGTTGGGTTTTCTTTGAATCGAAGAACAAGAACCCATACTCAAAAAGATGATAACTTTATGATCATCAAGTTACAAAGTGGCTTGAAAGAGAGAGAAAGGTGAGGAGTGGGCAAAAGGGTGTGTGAGTTTTTGGATTTATGCAAAAGGGTGTGTGAAAAAATGGGTTAGTGAGAAAAAAGAGGAATTGGAGAGAGAGAGAGAGAGAGAGAGAGAATGAATGAGAGTTAGTAAAAGAGGATTAGTCTTGAAAGGGAAGTTATGATTTGTTATTGTGTTGTGTCAACAATGTTTGTTGTGTTGTGGTTGAGTATTGGATGATGCTACATATATACTCTAATAGGGTAAGGATTATAAGTTCTAAATGTGATGGTGTTTGGAGGCAATGAGTACTTTGTTGGCATTATAAAGAAAGGTCATAAAATTTTCACCTAAATAAGTCATAAATTGATGATTTGATATTGGTTTTATGAATTAGTTGGCTCTCATAGTTACATTCAAGGGTGTAAAAAAAGAAATAAGATAACCTCAAGTCAAAATACTAACTCAACCACATATTTAAAATCATTAGATCATAATTTAATATTATTTTTTATTATTTTTAAAATCAAATATTAAATTTAAAATTTAGATTACTTGATTTTTAACCAACATTTAAACACATCTAATATGTGAATGTGTAAATTTCAACAAAAAAAAAATTAACTCACTAAACATATTGTAGATAATATAAATGAATATTTTAACTATTTTGTTAATTAACTTCTGTAATGATTTATAAACAAAATTACATATATTTTTTATTAGAATTACAAAAAAAAAATTATTTTATACTATTTAAATATTTTATTCTAAAAATACATCTTTTCTAAAGAGAATCGAAGAGTATCTATGTATTTAATTTTTTATATGTGTAAATGTAATTATAAAGATTAATCATTTAAGTAGGAATAATCAAAACATTACATTATTATAGGCATAAAATCTCTATTTTAAGGTAATGAATATTGATATATTTTTATAGTTGAATTTGAATTTACAATTTGTAATTAAGTAAGATGATATTTTTTTAATATTTCATTCAAGTATTTTTGAATCTATTTATGTTAATGTTAATATTTTGTTCTAAAAGAAGAAAAAAATCTAATGCACTTTCTTTTTATTAATAATTTTATTATTAAATTAAAAGTGAAATGAATAATTTTTATCCTAATTAATATTTGTATTGTATCTTTAAAAGAGGAGTGAGAAGAAATTCTAGATAATAAAAAGTATATATACATTTTAAAAAATACCAAAAATGAGTCATTGGTGCGTGTGATGTGAATTACTTGGTTAACACTTATATCATATTTATTAGTACTTACTTTCTTTATGTTGTTGCCTTTTTATAATAATTAATTGTTAGTAATTAGTTAATACGTTAATATTATATTTTTCCCTTTTATTAAATTTGAAGAATCGTTTTACCAAGAATAAAAATTGAAGAGTCGTCCTATGCATTTAACCTTTTACATGCGTGAGTGGATTTAGCTCTTTGAGAAGTTCAATTTAACTCTCAAACTTAAAAAATGCGCATTATATTAATTTAAAGTAAAATATTTATTTTGGTCCTTAATTATATGTCATAGTTCATTTTGGTTTTTTATCTTTTTTTCATGTCAAATTAGTTATTTGATTTTCTATAATATTCAAACAAATCTAAAACTATTGGCAGAAAACACAGAGCCGCTACCGAATTTTATTTATCCCAAAGGAAAGAGAAATATCGATAAAATCACAAGAGAATGGATAAGATGGTCTTGCGACCAAGAGAAATGGTAAGGGAGTCGGTTATGCGAGGGGAATGTATTAGCACCCCTCACATCCGCTGTACTCAACGAGATCCATTTTGTCTGTTTGTCTTAAAGGGTGTGTTTATTTACAACTATACTTGCTTAAAGGAGAAATGAATGGTTTTTATTATTGCATTCGTGAGGGTTTCGTGACCCTTTACCTACGTATCCAATGAAGGAATCAGAACACCGTAGTTCCTCTAGAAAATGGTTTGTTTGTTTGTGTTTTTTAGTGGGCGACGTTAACGCACGTCGGTATCGCGGTAGAACGGAGATAACATGCCCTTTTGGAGAAGTTTTGATTTGTTGAGTGTTTTCGTAAGTTTTAAAATAAATTCAAGTAATGATTAAGAGTTTTTGGATTTTTGATTTGTGAATGTTAAGTTTTAATTAGAAAGGATGCAATGCAAAAGTCTAAGGGAAGCTAAAACCCCAATGTAATCATGCCAAGAGGGACTTAAGGTTGAGTTTATGAGGGAGAAATCTAACCTAAAATGTTATCATGCATGGTTTCGATCCTAAAGTCTAACTCAACATAAAATGATCAAAAATGAGTTTAATCGCTTCGTGGAATCTCTTAAGGGAACATTTTATCAAGATTTTACCAATCAATAAAATAAAACAAAAGTGACAGAAATTCAAAGCTAAATGTTTTTTGTATGATTTTTAACTAAGTAAAGAAATAAGACTTAAGCAAGATAAGTAAAAATGGTTAACTAAACTAAAATAAATTCACAAATTCAAAAACTAACTAAGCAAAGATAATTAAAATTAACAAAGTTAGCTAATATCAGAAAGAAAACTACATGAATATTTAATTGATAAAGATAAACTTAAAAAGATTATTTAGTAAAATAAGAATAGGATAAGTGACTGAAAATTTAGAAAATGGGGGGGGTGAAAATTTTAAAATTGGAGTGGGCTGAGTTAAGAAAGAGGATTCAACATGGCCAAAGGTATACTAAAAAAAGGTTATATAAAAAAATATATAATAACAATAAAAAACAAAAGAATTGTTGGGCCGAGACGGGTTGACCCGAATCCAAACCCATCCCCCGCTTTAAACAAGAAAACATGGGTTCTAAAAACCCTAGATTCATCAGCGCCTTTCTCTCCTTTCAAAAAAGTTGTATGCTTCCTCTTACTCTCTGTTCCGTATCCCACTCTCTCAACTCAAACCGTACATGATTCTTCTCAATCCGAAACAACAACAAACCTTCATCTCCACTGAAATCGCCCCTCAATTCTCGTTTCCTTGATCTCTCATCTCAATTATGTTCCTCTCAAACTCAACTAAACAACCATAACTATGATATATTCAATACAATTCTCATGAAAATGGAAGTCGAAGATGCAACCTGATTCGTTTTAAATTCTAAAATAGAAAAAAGATGTACCTCACAGGAACTGCATCAACAAGAAGGATTTTGAAATCAAAGTGGAAAACTTAATTCTCAATAATCAGGATTAAGCATCATACAATCATGAATTCATAGAATTGGAAAGGGATTAATCAGCTACTCAACAATAGGTACGCATCAGTGAAAAGAGATGTCGAGGAACATACAAGGTCAAGGAAATTTTACCGAAATGAAGCTAGTCAGGCGAGTCCGTTTCCAGCGCAGTGGCTCAGGTAGACTTCGACACTTCTTTTTCCCTTTCTAACTTATGTCTCCATTGTTGCTTTTTTCTGGATTTCTGTGCTTCTGTTATGTTGAATGAGTACCGACTGATAGTTGTGTTTGTGTTTGTGTTTGTTTCTGAGTATGGTGGTGATAGAGGTTTTGAGTTGCTTTATTTTTTATGTAGGGTGAGGGTGGAGAGGCATTGAGCAGAATTTTCTTCTGTTTTTTTCCTGGACCTTTTTTACTGTGATTGTTGGTATTTTCCGTGTGTTCTCTCTTTTGGTTTTCTGTGTGTTTATATGTTGTAATGTTCTCTCACCTTCAGTTTACTGGATGGTACCTCACTCTATCGGTTTTGCTGGCTGGTATCTCTCTTCTTTATGGTTTTTGCCTTGGTAGAATTACTCTCTTTCTCAGTTTTTATGTTGGTTGATCCCACTCTGGCTTTTTGCTGGATGATTCTCTCTTTCAAAATTGCCCCTTAGTATATGCAAGGTTGCTTCTTATAGTGAGATATTGGTGAAAATTGGGGGGGAAATTGGTGAAGTTTAAACAATCTTGGTAGGCTGACTTTGAACATTTGAGAAGTAGGTTTGATATTTAGTCATTTTGGTGTATGGACAATATAGCAGCATAGCAGGTGTTTGGACTGTTTTGCAGCAGGTTGTGGGCAGATCCCTTTGGACTGTTAGGTTTTTGTATGATGCAGGTTTTATCTTTTCCTCTTTTATCTTTTCACGTGTAATAGCCCAAATTTGTCCTACCCTTTTACTTTTATCTGGCTTACGCATCTCACATTTTTCTTTCGTACATAACCTCCATTAGGTCATTTAACACATCATGCATCATCGATCAATAAATTTAGTACGGGATCAAGGATGTTGAAGAATTAGGGTTGTTGTTTGGCTTTAAGGTTCTCATCTTCATTCAAGCTTGAATCAACTGGTTTCCATCAATCATTTGTTTGAAGCTAGGGTTTTATTTCCTGGACTGCTTTATCGTCAAACTATAGGGGTATTCTTTCTTCCCAACATCAAGTTGCAATCTTTCTTCAAGGCCTAAGAATTAGGGTTTTCGTCTGTTAATATTCAACTAAGGATCATTGGATTTTCAAGTCAAGGCTATCTTCCGTATTCCCATATTCATTCTCCAGATCTCCTCAAGGCTTTGTTGATTGTTAAGACCATTGTTGAACCATAATACAAGGTGTTAAGTTTGAAGGTCCATTGTGCTCAGGGCGTCATTATTTCAAATACTTATTGCTCAACGTACAAGTTTAGTACGGATTAGAAGATGGAAATGAATTAAGGATTCATTGGAAATGTAAGTTGATTTTGTGTAAGAATTAGATTCAAGCTTTGGTTTTATACAAATTTCCAAATTTAGGTGATCAAGACCATTTCAATACGAGCAAGCTCACAAGTTCGTTCATCATCCATTCAAGGATTTCGTTTATGGATTTTATTCAAGATTCAATTGAATTGGAAAAATTTGCAATTGAAAGTACATTCATTCAAGCTTCCTTCAACAACATTCATTCGCCCAAGGTTCCTAGTTTTTTCAAATGAAATCAAGAAAG